TTAAGTTCTCCGTACCTACGATGAATAAAACAAAACAAGGTAAGAAACCAAAATGGCAGAATCAAAGAGGTTGAACCTTATAAATCGAAACTCAAGGTAAGAACCTTAGAAAATTTAAAGTTAATTGAAACCCAAGGTAAGAAACTAGAATCAAAGAGATTTTGAGCATGCACCGACTCTCCTTGCAATCAGATTCCCTGAGGTGATAAGATAAGCCCAATGAAGGGCTATCAGAGACCGCCAATGGATGATGATTTGGGTTTTGTATAGAACACAATAGAGTAGGTTAGAAGGATGATTGGAGTTAGGAAATCCATTTGCAAGGGACTTACAATAGTGGAGAATCATCAACTCATTGCCATCATTGCTGGCAAAGAGCTTTTGTTGCTGGTGCAGATGAGAAATGATGGTGGCAGTGGAGAAGACGGGTGAAAAGAGATCCATAAGAGAACATGATTTGGCTAAAAGAAATTGAAGGAGATGAATGGCAGGGCATGACATGTGGCAACTTGGAATTCAAATGGCATGACACATGGCTTTTTGGGTCAAATTTATTCCAAGTTAACAGAACATAAATTTAACAGTAAAAGAAAAAATGCTTCAATTTAATTACTTCATGAGCAAAAATGCTAAGTAAAATATGTTAGGAATGATAGGTATTTCTCAGAAAAAATTAAGTCCAAAAACACACCTTTGCTACTTTTGCAAATTTCTCAAAATTTCTCCTAAACATGAAAAATAAAAAATAAAAAAATATTTTTAAAAAAAGTTTATCTGGATCGCTAATTAAAAAATAGTTGATGAACAATGAATTCCCACTAAACTTTACAATATATATAATTTATAATTATAATTTTTTACCCTTGCATATAAAAAATAAAAAATAATTTATCTTTTGAAGATATTATTTGTGATTTTTTCCACAATTTATTATCTTTTTTACCTCACAATTCATTATCTCATACATATGCAAAATTCAAATAACAAATAACGTCTTAACGTTTGTAACATGAATCTCATATCTAGCATTATTTTTTTTCAAGGGCTCCACACTTATTTTCAACATTGCAGGTCCCATGTGATATTTAAACATACACAAATTTTGAAAAAAAGAGGCTTTTGTTACTAAATGAACGGAAGTAATATGACAAACTTCATAATATGAACAAATAAAAGAAAAGAAGATTTGAATGTCATAAGCAAGTTAGTTACGTGTCAATTTCGTTGTTCTAGACTTGAGCCGATTCATGTGCATTCGTTCAATAATTAACCTTATCGTTTTTTTCCCCTTCCCTATTTGGGAACCATGATAGTAGTATTATTATGAAGCACTTGTCATTTACGTCTCATATATCATTATCAGTACTATACTATCAAATTTGACTGCCCACTTTACATTAATTGGTTCAGTTCCCCCCCCCCTTTCGGTCTACCTTCGGTTTAAACTTTAATGGCTCACCCCACTGGTCACTGGACACACATGGCTTTGACGTGAAGTTTCGGTGTGATCATGACACGTATTTGGTCTCAGTGCATTCAAAATGAATTTGATTTGAATTTCTCAAACGCTTTTTTTTTTTTCAGTGGAAGAAGAATTTCATTAATCAAGGTTGTAAATCAAACTGTACAGCAACAAAAGGCAAATTACATCAAAATGCTATAAATTTAGTAGGATCTAGTACAGTGATCAACTATCGCTCTAATATTTGCTAAAATACTATTTACATTGAAAGTTTCATTACTAAATATATTCCGATTGCATCTATCCCATAATGTCCAACACATGATAGTAGTGCCAATCTTACAGGAAATATCAAGACGGGGGTTCATGAGTGTGCCAGCCATCCAAACCATAAAAATCAGTCTTCATGTTGATGATAGGATCTTCTTCCAAACTGCAGAAGCCAGTGTACACTCTTTGAAGTTTGAACACATGATTGATATTCTCTTAAGAACCATTGCAAAGCGCTCATTTTGGGTCCAATGTCATCCTCCTTCTAAGTCTTCCAATATTTGTAAGCAATCTACCTTGGAAAAGGAGCCATGTGAACGATTGTATTTCCACACTCTCCTCCAGATTGGTGCAACGTCATTCCACTCAGTTGATTGAGAAATATTATACGCTGACTTTGTATTAAACTTACCAGTAGCATTAAGCTGCCAAACGCTTCTTAAGAGCGCATAAAGTGTTTCATTTAAAATTTAGAATATCGATGAAATCAACGTAATTAAATACAGTAGTGTAGAATGCTAGTCTCTTTAAAAGCAATGCACATAGTATTTAAGTATAACGTGCTTGGATTGTTTAATTAGTAATTGGTTGCATGTGTAGTGAAACATTTGGAATGTCAAGCAAGTTAATATTTTTTTTATAAATAGAGGAAAAAGTTACATATAAAGGAGAAATTATTGTTTAAATATGATGCATTTAATAAATGTAAATTGAAAATTTGTCTTTTTTAGACAAAATTAATTATTTAACTACATTTCCCATGGCAAGATAATTAAAACTGGTTTATATATAGGACAGCAGGGTATACAATAATATTTGCTATACTATTTTCTTAATTTAAAATCATTATTTAATATGTACATAATTTTTTTTCATTTTTACTTTTGAATATAATTGTATTTTACAAATACAACTGTGATATAAATTATAATATAGAATTTATTATAGTGTATATTTTATTTTTCTTATGATAATGCATGGTTCAACAAATTCTAAAAGAAAGTAAGTTAATTGTATTTTAATTTGCAGAATGTGAGAAATAAAAAAAACTATTTATATTTTTTAATATACATAAGGCACTAATGTATATTAAAAAGTTACTCTTATGATAAGGATAACATATTAAAAGATAGAAATTGCAACTTAAGTTTCAATTCACACGGGACAACCACTGATAGATTCTCGAATCCTTCTCTGGGGAGATTTTTTTGATTAATCATTAGGAGAGAACTTAGTAGGAAGTATATTTTTTAACCAGGTTCCAAATTTTTCCCACGTAATAATCAAAAGGAAAAGTACCAATGTACCTTGGGTCGGGTAACACATTTTAAGATAAAATAAGTAATTATTTTTATCTTTAGCATGGGCTAAACAATTTTTAATATAAAATAAATCATTGTTCACATTTTATTTTATACAAAAGGTTAAAGAACCTTTTTGTTCCTCAAATATTCACTTAAGAGCATCTAGTATCATAAATTTTATGCGGTACAATTTTCTTTTTAAACTTTTAAAAAAGATGCATTGCTCGTCGTCATTAAAAAAATTTAACTTTTATGGTTAGTTAATTTTAAAATTATAAGAAAGGACTTCAAAAAATATAGGAAATGATCCATCAATAATATTACACATAAGTATGAAAATTAATATCAATTAAGTTTCCTAAATTACATATCAATTATAGGATAAAAATATTATTTCTTACTCGCATAAAATGTCAAAAATACAATTTTAACCAACCTTTATTTTAGAAATTTAATAAATATTAATTTTATTATATTTTACTTATTTGCAATTTTATGAATTCTTTTATGTAATGTTTAGGCTTTTTTTTTTGTAATTTTTTGACTAACTAATTGTTAAAATTAACTTTGTTAACATCATTTTGAAATTGACAAGTAAAGTTGCATTATATGAAAATTTAAGATACCGGATACTTTTAAGTGAATAGTTGAGAAATAAAAATACTTTTTAACTTTTGTATAAATTAATAAAATATGATATCTTGAGTATACAAAAATAAATTATTTTTAATTTATATAATTTGTTTTTCTTTTGTTTTTAAAATATTAAAATATTTCGTGCATTGTAGGGGAAAATAAATCTAGTTTTAAATTAAAACATCTGGATTTTGGATTCACACCTTAAAAGCTTATTCCATATTCCACTTTTTTCTTAATAGCTTGAAAGTATGGAGACAATCCTGTCCAAGTGCGGTCGGAGATTAAACGAGAACACTTCCATTAATTTGAGATTTAAGTTTGAGATTTGAGTCTTAATTCATTGTATTATGAGCAACTGACTTCCTAGATCCAAGTCCCGTCCCCATAAAATAAGCCATTCCACATTCCACCATTTTCGCATATGCCAGCAGCTCAATACGTGTACTGGGTACTATTCTATTGGCATTGTATACTTTCCCTCTCCTATAAACGAGAGAATTTTTTTTATCTTATTTATAAATCATTATATTAAGTTTTCATTGTAAATTTTTTAATTTAATCTCTATTGAATGTTAGAGAAAAAAATATATTATTAAAAATATATATTTAATAAGAGTAAAGTTAAAAAATTATTAAATTTTTAAATAGAGTTAAAAAGTTTTAATTCCTTTTTGATTCTGTTAAAACATGTAAAATTCTTTGTAAATAGTACTATAACAGTATTATACAAAGATATACTGCATTTTTTAAAAACTTATATATTTAAAAATATAAGATATTTTTAATCTTTTGAGATGTAATCATTGCTTTTTTTTTAAAAGTACCTTTATTGATAATAACTTCATATTTATTATAGGGTGTTTAATAAAGGTAAATATAAAAGGATACAATTAGTTAAAAAATAAGTATTTATTTTATTAAGGGGTGAGATTTAATTAAAAATATCTTATATTTTGTAATTGAAGGAGTAAATGACAAGTATCTAAATTCTTAAATTTAATTAGGCTTATTCTTGCGGGAAGCTATCCAATGAGCTTATCGCATTGCTAGGCTCTCCTGTAAAATATTCATTATGATTTTTGTAGTCGTGATCATCTTCCACGTTTTTTGGCAAGGAATCGGCGGACGATGAGCTGCTGTGCAATGGAAATTATTGACCTTCTTGTTTTTTTATTCGTTATTCATGTAGTTTCAGTTTGTACTTAAAAAAAAAAAAATCTAATTAGGGAAGCAGAGCAAGTGGTGGGCGTGATGAAAGAATAGTGATTTTTAAGCACTTTGGAATGCGCAGACGCTTGTCTTCTTCTGTCCGTATTGATTTGATTTCCCGTGGAATGACGAACCGCCACCTCAGCTCCCCTTCCTTCCCTATATAATTCGCGGCTTCCATAACCAAACAATCAGTTCAGTCTCCAACTTCTCAAGCCAATTGCCAACTTCGCCTTCTCCGACTTTCTAGAATTCTATCTGCACCCCACATGTATACTTTTATAGCCACTCGCTATTACTAGCCCATTGCCAAGCGCCTTTCTTTCCACGCTGTTTCGTTTTATTTTTCTCTTCCGTATTTGTGGTTCTTCAATACCGCATTTTTTTTTTCGTTTTTCTTCGACAGTTTGTTTGCGATGGCCAGCGATGGCAAGCAGAAAGATGCCGAGTTTTTCTTCGATCCGAACGAAGATGATGTCAACGATGACGATGAATCTACCAAGATTGCCATCGAGAGTGGTAGTGACGGAAGCGACGACGACGAAAATTGTGGATCACATCCTGACGCTTTCTCGTCGCAGCAATGGCCCCAAAGTTACAAGTAACACCTTCTTTAACTCGTCTCTTCGTGTATCTATCTTCCCATGATAACTTCAATACCGTTTCTTTACTCGCAGCGGCAATGCATTTGAGAAGAGTTGAAATTCCTCGAATTATGTCCATTAAGTTGATATCCTGTACTTGTCAAACATTTTATGGGGTTCGTATAAGAAGAATTAATTGAGAGGGGGACTGATATTGTTTAGGATTACTTAATAAGTGACGTTAGAATTATTTTTTGATTTTGATGTCCTCCTTTGTCTATTCTGTCTGCAAACCTGATGAACCTATAGGCACCACTTTCACTCACTGATGGCTTTATTATTGTTGTTGTTGTTATTTATCTCGGATTTCTTATGATAGAGAGACTGTCGATTCGTACACAATTGCTGCATCACCGAACATTGGGGCAGCTGTTCTACGAACACCGAGTTTGATATATTCAAGTTTTGTCAATCGTTCGAAAAGTAGTTTAAGCCTAGATGGAAAGACTCCTCTATTATCTGAGCAGGACTTAATTCAAAAGAAATCGTCATGGTTGGAGAGAGTTTCATTGCAAAAGGAACTTACTGGAGAATTACCTATTGGCCAAGGATGTAGCCTCACTCAAACAGTTTTCAACGGTAAGTTGTTTCATTGCACTTAATCAGTGATTGTTGCAACATTGGTGGGTGACAATGTAAGCGAATGAGAGCTAATCTTTTGTTTGAAAACTTGTTAAGAGATTTATGATGAAATCCTTCCTTTCTGGCTCATCTTTTGCATCCAAGAACCCGCTTTCTTATGTTCTGTTTCTAGCTAATCATTCTCTAAGGTGCTTCTGTATCTGGCAGGAGTTAATGTGATGGCTGGAGTCGGCCTTCTGTCCACATCCTATACAGTGAAACAAGGTGGATGGGCAAGCTTGGTGGTGCTGGTTCTTTTTGCAGTTGTATGTTGTTACACAGCCACACTTATGAGATACTGCTTTGAAAGCAGAGAAGGAATCCTGACATATCCAGATATCGGAGAAGCAGCTTTTGGAAGAGCTGGTCGTCTTGCCATATCCGTGAGTTTGTTTAATTTTTTTTTTTCGTTGAATGGGTTTAACTGCTGAGAAGTGCTTATGTGGCAATCTGAAGTGTTAACTGGAATTTTGTTGTTTTTGGCGCTGGCACTCGTTTGCATATGTTTATTTACTCATTTCTAGCTTTTTATTATAATTTGGTGGACCTCAAAATTTATTATCAGGCCCATGAGAAATATTCCACATCTTTTACTTAGCTTTCTCTTGAATGATTTCAGTTCTTCCCTATCATTTATCTCTTATTTTATTCTATATGTATGACGTGGGTGAGAAAGTCCCAAATGCTGACATGAACTGCTTTTAAAATAGGCAGAGTGGTGGTTTTACTACTCTGTTAACATTTTCATGTTTGGATCTTTTTCATTTTAAGATTCTGACATGTTCCGTGCTGTGTCATTCCTCCAGCCATTATGTTTTATCTCAATTCTATATGCATTATGCATGAGTGAAAATTCCCAAGTGCCGACATAAATTGCTTTTAAAATACGCAGAATGGTGGTTTTGCTACTTAGTATTTGCTAATCAATATTGTCCATTTTGGATCTTTTTGCAGATTATTTTGTACACTGAATTATATGTAAGTGCTGAATCTGTTCCTATTGTTATCATTCTTCTTAAAAATGAAAGAGAACCATGTTTTTTACTCTGTTTGTATGAGACCTCTTTTCATGTGTGCAGTCATACTGCGTGGAGTTCATCATCTTGGAAGGAGATAACCTAACTAGGCTGTTTCCTGGAACATTCCTTGATTGGGGTGTTATCCAGTTGGATTCCGTGCACTTGTTTGGAATTTTGACTGCTCTTATTATCCTCCCCACGGTTTGGTTAAGGGACCTTCGTGTAATCTCCTATCTTTCAGGTATTGCAAATTCTGAGTAAGATTATTCTTTGTTTGCAAATGCTCCTCATTTAGCATGTACTTACAAAATCTTTCTGAATGACTGCGCAGCTGGAGGGGTTGTTGCAACAATTCTTATTGTCATTTGTGTGTTCCTTTCCGGGACAACAAGTGATATTGGGTTCCATCACACAGGTCAAGTTGTGAATTGGAGTGGCATTCCATTTGCTATTGGTATCTATGGGTTTTGCTACTCAGGACATTCAGTTTTTCCAAATATTTACCAGTCTATGGCTGACAAAACCAAATTTACCAGGGCATTAATCATATGGTACAGAACATTCTTTAGCACTCACTTGCTAGACATTTTGTGTACCTATTTCATATGGTACAGAACATTCTTTGGCACTCACTAATGGCTTTTTGTGTTAGCTTTCTTCTATGTGTTTTAATATATGGAGGTGTTGCGGTCATGGGATATCTCATGTTTGGTGAAGCCACCTTGTCTCAGATAACACTTAATATGCCGCCACACTCCTTTGTCTCTAAAGTTGCATTGTGGACCACAGTGAGTCTGAAATCTTTGAGCTTCTTTAATATTTTGTTGCTTTTGTATGTTTTTGTGGATTACAATTTATTGTTGTTCTTTTCCCTTTAAGGTAATTAACCCGTTCACGAAATATGCTTTGCTGATGAACCCATTGGCAAGAAGCATAGAGGAGTTGCTGCCTGCCAGAATTGCAGATAATTGTTGGTGTTTCATTGCCCTTAGATCAGCGCTTGTTTTTTCTACAATTTGTTGTGCCTTTCTGATTCCGTTTTTTGGTAAGTTACAAAAATTTCCATCATAAAAAATCTCAATCAGTAACGGTAACTGAACAAAGTGTTATTTCTGTAGGTATTTTTCTTTTCATCCATTATGCTCAAGGGAAATTTTCTTGTTACCTATTTGTGGTAGAAATATTATTTTGGGAGGCTAAAATTCAGATAACTTATGCTTATGATTGCCCGGGTTATCTTCCAAAAACAAAAAAAACCAAAAACAAAACAAGAAGAAACTTCTGCTTTCTGAGGCAAATTTCAGATAGAGAAACAGCAAGAGAGGCAACGTTGTCTTCTAAGTTTATTAGCAGTTGCAAATACTTTGCGTAGCCGTAGCCATGCTGCAAATGTTAAAAAGAAAACGGGTACATGTTTGGATCACGAATGATATAGCATAGGGAAAATTACTTTCTGAATGGAGGAGGGTGCTAAGATCGTACGGACGGGGGATTGTGGGAGTTGCTTTCCTTAAGCTACAACACTTTTGTAGTTTTTTTTTTTGGGCCAAAGGTTTGTAGTTTTTTAATATACGTTTGAGCAATGCTAAAAATGTGTATATTTGTGTTGATTGTTCTTCTGTTAGTGGTGAATTAACTTGGATGCTGATTCCTGTAGTATCCTCGTCATTTCAAAGTGAGACGCTAATCTTGTATCATATTTTCTTTTTTCTGAAAAGAAAGCCACTTTATGCATGAAAAACATGCTTCGTCAAATTGTCAATGCTTATAAAGTGTGTTTGATGAAATCTAACATGCTTTATTATAATTTCAGGACTTGTGATGGCTCTAATTGGCTCTGTACTCAGTATTCTTGTGGTAAGCATATATTTCGATGAAATACACACACATACATACATACATATATATATATATATATGGGAAGCCACTATCTGGCGACAAAGAAGTCACTAGAATTAAAGGAAAACTAAGGTTTTAATTTCTCATTGTAACTTGTTAATTTTATGAAGTTATAGCTTTTGTTCTGAAATATCGTTTAAGTTGTGCTGCAAAATCTAGGCGAACTGCCGTATTTTCAGAAATCATCATTACATAACTAATGGTACAAAGAATTCACTTTTTAGTTGAAAGAAGCCAAAGCATATCATCCAGTATATATTTGCAAGCAATCTGTTCCTAGGATTCAGATTATGCCACTTTTGCAGATGCTTGTGAGAAGCTAGGTCATGGCATACTCAGGACCATTGCCTGTGATACTCATAGATAGTCTCTCTTATTTGAGTCGACTATTTTATATTCAGTATTCATGCAATAAACAATACCTGCGTCACAGCAAAGTTAAAGTTCATTGCAGATGGACTTGTAACATAGTGGCATATAAGCTTCTCTATAAGTGGGAGGTTACGGTTCCTGATGCCTTGTTTCCAATTAGCTCTTGACGTTGTTACAGAATTTGCTTTCCCACTTTCTAGTTTATGTCAATAGTAATACCACTAGAAGAAAAGGCCATTGAATTTCCTTAACCATAGTTCGTTCTTGATTTTGTGAAATAGTCACATGTATTATTAACGTCGTTAGATTCTTTCCAGCTTATAGTCTCGCAACCATATATCTCCACAATGTTCGTTTACATTCAATCTGACATGAGCTAGACTGCGTTGATTAATTTTTCGCTTTCACTATTGTTAATAGTTGTTAATGTTTAGTGTGAGAATTTCACATGAAACTGAATTCAGATATTGCTGAAACTCTTTTACCCCTTCCTTCACAGGCGGTCATAATGCCGGCTCTTTGTTTTATGAAAATTATGGACGGAAAGGCGACAAAAATGCAGGTTACTATATGCAGCGGATCTTTTCAGACTTAGTTAATCTTTATTTGACTTTTCTATCCTAAAACTATGGAAATCTTATTGGGATGGATTTTTTTCTTTTTCTACCACTCCCTCCCTCTTTTTTCTCTAATTCTTTGACGTCAGAAACAGTTTAAAAAATTTTTAACTTGAAAAGATTAAATTCCATGCAATCTGCTGTTGAATTGTTTCATTTCTTCTAATCTATACTTTTATTTTTCTTGACTTCCATCATCAGGTTGCTCTGAGCGTGGCAATTGCAGTGTTGGGAGTCGTTAGTGGAATTCTGGGAACATATTCTTCAGTGAAAAGAATTGCTGAAAATTACTGAAGCACTCCCTGAGACAGTTCAGCCCCTTCATATCTATATGCTAACTAATGAGTTTTCTGTGTGTGACCCTGAGGGCCGCTTGGATTGTTGTGACATGTGATCATACATAGACCTTTCTATCACCCTTGAAGTCTTTAGTGCATAGCCCTAAGCTATGTAGAGGATCGTAGCAATGCAGCGAAACTGATGGCATATTTCCATTGGTCATTCTTTTAATGTAGTAAATGTAGCTTATTTTTTCTCCCCAAAGTTATGTGGGCTTTTCTGAAAAGTTGTCATCACTTTGAAACGCCGTTCGGCCTTCGCTCCAATGAAAGGATACTCTTTTTTGTGAGAGTGGTAGGTGATGTCACCCCTATGAGCCGAGGACTCGCGATGAAATTAGGTTAAAAAAAAAAATCAATCAGACAAATTATATCAATTAATAATTATTTATTGTTAAATTTAAATAAATATTTATTGATTTGAGTTGGAGTTTTATCAATAAGAATCTATTTAGATTTTAATAAATTATTTTAAATTAATAATAATTTATTTAAAGTTGTTTTTTATTTGAATTTTAATAATAATTGGTATTTGACTGATATGAACTTTTTTCAATGGTTTTTTATTGTTAATTTTCCCAAAAAAAAAAAAAGAGAGTGAGTGAGTGAGTGAAGAACAGTGTGCTGTTGGAATCTGACAACTCTCAGTAATTTGCGGTGCCCGACATAATTGCATATGACGCAGCCTGCACCAGGTTCTTCATGACGTGATCAACTATAATAGGCACGACGTGCTCGTGGTTTTTTTTTTTTTTTTTTTTTGGGTTACAAGACTCAACGTACTTGTTATTTGAATGAACTTTCCCATATTTTGACGTAGAGAGAGAGGGAGAGAAGTTACTTTGAATGCGAACGATGATGGGCTCCTCAAGTTGTTAATATTTGAAAGAGACGGATGGATGCATTGCATTTTATTTAATTGAAGTGTCCATGGTTGATTCATACTCGAACACTATCGCGGTTGATAAAGTGAAATAAGGAATTAAATGATATAATATACTTTGCTTGTAGTGACGCCGTTTGGACAATCACCGTTGACCGTGATTAAAAGCATGAGATCGGATACCATGAGGAGTTGACGTGGCATCAACTGTGACATGTTTTTTCATGTGCTCTTGTATTTTATTTCATCTACTAGATTTAGATTTAAATTGTTAATGATAATTTTAACGGTAGGATAGGAAAGTCGATGATCGAAATACAAAACTTTATGCCCTGCCTGACTCAGAAAAATAGGGAAAAGAAAAAAATGTGAAGAGAAAAAATGAAGTAAAAATAAAAGTAGAAAGATGAACTTTAATTTTCTTGTTAATTTTAAATGGATAATAATAACATTATCATTTTTAAAAAATATTTATATATAATAAAATTTAATATTTTATCATATTATTTATATAATTTTTATTATATATATTACATATTGAATAAAAATATAATTATAAATTATTTTATTCGATACTAGCAAAAAATTATTGTCTAATTTTGATTTTTTTGTTAAATTAAATATATAATAATCTAAATTTTAAAGTGGAGGAAAAATTAAAATGAAAGTAAAGAAATGCAATATATAGGAAACAAAAAGATTGTAAATTTAAAAATTGAATTTTCTTTTTAAAATCCTCCTCAAAATCTCTCCATATTCAAAGAAAAAAGTTAAAGATATATGAGTTTTATATATTATTTTTCTCCTAATTTTCGTTTCCTCTTTTTTTTCTCTTTTTAACCAAACAGAACAAAAATGTCACTTTTTCCTCCACTTCTCTCTTTTCTCCCTCTCCAACCATAGCTTTAAGTTTTGATTTTTTTTTTTTTTGCCAACGCTTTAAGTCTTAATTTTAAACATCAAGTTATATTAAGTCAGGAATTTATTCTGTTGCCTTTTCTCTTCAACAAGATAAAATGATAATCTAGGTAAAAAAAAGATAAAATGATACATTAATTAAAATAATCATTAATTTAGGAAATGGCAAAGAAATTATAAGCGTGATTTTTCTTAAGCAAGAAGTTAAAAAAGAACAGGATGGAGAAAGAAACCTTCAGGCTTCACCGTCATCCTCAACCCTGCATATTTGGTTCGCAGTTTTGTCCAGGGCCCTGCCCCTCTCACCATTCATTCACACTTGTGTCTCTTTGTCTCTCCAGCTTCGCTTCGGCCTCATTATATGACTCGTTCCACGTCCCAACATTTTCCACAAAGTCTCTCTCCTTCCGTTTCCTTCGTCTTTCTCTCCCATTCACACAGCTCACTTCTCGTGTTGTGACCACCCACAACAATTTCCTTCTGTCGTTTCGCGGCGCTGCATGTAGTTCTTAGGCATTTTCCCTAATCTACCTCCCGGCATCACAATAAGAGTATCGCTATCCCCATCCAATTTCGCTAACCGTCTTTCATAATTTTTCGATTCGATCTCCAAAAGTTGCTCTGGACAATATGTTCGACGTTGCTTTTTCGCACTGCTCTTTCGGTATCGGCAGGCTCTGGCTTCTGTGATCCGATAGAACCTTTGTACAAATCTGGGAATGTCTGAATTGGTGGCTCGTACCGGTCGTCACCAACAGCGTTATGACTTATTATGAGGCCGGTTGCCGCCTCGTTGCTGGGTAATTCTCTCGTTCTCGTGCGCGTCATAATAATCTTCACAGAGGGTTTGAGCATTTTCTCTTATGATTTACGTGATCGACGCCATTGGCAGTGTATGCTGATTTTTATTCTTGTCGTTAGTTAATTCGACCGTCTTGTTTTGGATATTCGCTTTATTCTCCTCACATGTTAGACGTCCTATTGCAAGGCGTCTGTTGATATCAATTTTTTTCTTTCCAGTTCATATTTTGTGTCGTTACATGTTAGTAGATCTTTGAAGGGAAAGCAGCTTCTAAGGTGATTTATCCAGGAAGGACGGAATTACAGTGAGCACTGAGCCTCGAGCCGTTTCATACATGTAAGGACCATTCAACTGTAATTTAATCCAATGACATGTGCTGAAACCAACTGCTTTAATTTGCAGGCTACGGCTTCATTTTATATCATTTTGAAATTAACCTTGATAACTTTGCAATTTTACTTGTCAGCCAACTAACTTTCCTTGTTGCCATGTTAGAGTTTCAGAAAATACAAAATGCGAGTATTCAAGTATAAAAAATATTTGGGGGATTTTTTACGGGTAGAATACTTGCCTGGTACTGACAGTGAAGCTTTAACCAACTGCTGTTTATATGCTTTTCTTGTGGGAAGAATATTTAACTTGTAACGCATTTATCACCTTGCCATGATCTAATAGGTCCCCAATAACTTCAACCAGCAATTTCACGATGCAGAAACGAAAATATATATAGATATGAAAAATCACTCTTGTATTACTGAAGATGAAGAGAGTCAGAGACTAATGGCGAGACTGTGAGCTGACTGGCCTTCAAAATATTCTGACCTACAAATTGATTGACAGGTGTATTCCCTTGTATAGAAGTTCTCATGAGAATGGTGATGGTGCATCTGAAAAGACTTCGAAAGTGGTGATGGTCAGCTCAGCTAGCGGACCTGGTCTAGTGTTTCCAAAGGTACGCGAATGAAGGAATAAATAAATAAATATAAACCTTGTTAAAACAAAGAAAGAAAGCGATCTCTCCTCAGGTAACTTTGCAAGACGAACTTATGTCCTGTTCTCACTCTGTTTCTGAACATTTTTTCTTCATGTTATTATATATAACCTGTTCTTTTGATTAACTCCAATCCATGAACCTGACTGCTATATGGTTTCTTAATGAGCTGAGGCCGTGACAGCCACTTTTACTGTTTCTTTTCTTCCAGTTGCAGAATATAAAACTTAAAACCTTGCTGTGTCGTAGTTATTCTAATAAATAATATGCAATGACATAATGGCAGTGTCATTTATGCAAACATTGGTCTTAGATGATATATTCTATTCTTCAGTCTTTTGATGGATTAGATAGGTGTATATATACATCTTATTTTTTGGAGGAAAGTTAAATGTTACTTTGACTCATCATTTTATCATTCGCATAATGAAGGGGCGATGGCAAAATGATGAGACTGTTGAGGAGGCTGCGGCCGGAGAAGCTCTAGAAGAAGCTGGAGTTCGGGGAGAACTCCAGGTGAGGGTAAACTTCTTTTACACACTTAGTTTAATGAACGTTAGTCATACGAGGCTGACAGAATTGTTGATGTACGAGGCTGGCGCCAGAGTGGCTTTCTGTCTGTATTTGCTTGCGTCATCATGTTTAATACCTGCTCATCTACTACAAATTATTTTTGTAAAGGATTAATGTGTACCACATTTTTTGTCCATGTGCTTTTAAATGAAAAAAAAAGTTAAAAGAAAAATAAAAAATAAAAATGGAGATAAAAGGAAGAAATAAATCCATCCTGCAATTTGCAGTATTCAAAGTGTCTTTTCCTTCTCTATATCCCTTCCAAGAGATGTTAGACTTCAGCTACAATGATAAAAAGGGCGTGATGAGGTCGAGGCTGAACTTTGTTGAGGAGTTTTTTTTGTCCTGTTTTTAATCTTTCATTGACACAGACATTTTGTTTTTTTTTTTTTTAAAAAAAATCATAGGCAAGCCGAAGCTTGTACACACAATTAGTCTAAAACGGCTAACCACTAGAGCATAGGGATGAGTTTTCTTGCTCATTCTTTAGGATAAGATCTAGATCATTTAAATTTAAAGAATTATTTTATGTTATATTTATTAAAATAAAAATTATAAAATAATTTTAATAAATTTTTTATTTTTAATCTAGTCTAGATTTAATTTAGAGGGTCCAATTTAATATTAACATTTTTATAATTGATGTATATTAATTGTTTAGATATACTTTGCACTGTCCATATTATTAAATTTATAAAAAAAAAATTAATCTAGACTGTGCAGAGTGTATCTGAATAATTAATATACGTTAATTATAAAAATTTTAATATTGAATTGGACTCTTTAAATTAAATTTAGACTAGATTAAAAATAAAAAATTTATTAAAATTATTTTATAAATTTATATTTTAATAAGTATAATATAAAAATATATAATAATACTTTAAATCTGTATCATTTAGATTAAAATCAGGATGATTCAGATCTCATCCCAAGGATTAAGCATTAGGAAACTGATCCCCAAGGGCATATGCTCATATGTTTACAAAAAATATCACAGCACCGTGAAGGGACGCCGAGAAGCAGTTTCAAAAAAAAAAAAAATGTCTGATCCACAGAGTGTGCATTATTTTGCCAACTGATCAGCGCAAGTGATTGATTCACGACCAGTAAAAATATTGAAACAAAAATTCTGTGTCTCTAGATGTCCACTTCAACGAAGCAAGCAAAATCTAATGCTTTAGTGTAGAGTGGATGATATCTTTCTTTCTTTTTCTTTCTTTCTTTTCCTTTTTTAAGAGTCTTTGATTTTCATCCTTTAAAGCTCAACATAAACACTGTAATAATCGGGGGATGTAGAACTATAAAAGCTCTATAGTCTGTATATCTTGTTTGACTTCCCATTGGCCTCATTGTCTCTACATGGAACTTAAATAAGTGATTTTTGTTATGAATATTATTATTACAACTCAGAAGGATAGAGGGGATTATGTTGTTGGACTCATATTTCTGGCGTTGTGGTAGCCTGTCCTCAGTGGAAAGAAATCTAACAAGAAGGCTTTGTTTCAGGATTTTCTAGGGCATTACAACGTCAACAGTAATAAGACCCTAAAAGATGAGTTTTGTCCGGAAGGTTTATCCAAAGCAGCCATGTTTGCTTTGCTTGTGAAGGAGGAGCTGCAGTTCTGGCCAGAACAAAGCAATCGACAGAGAAATTGGCTAACTATTCCAGAAGCTGTACATTCGTGCCTACATCAATGGATGAGAGATGCTCTCAACGAAAGCTTTCTGAAATAGCAGGCGAATCAATTGGCGAGAGCCTCGACCAAGGATAAGGATGTAGAGTTGCCAGATTAAAGCTGAATTGGCCTTTTAATCAATTGTTGTAGGATGTAAAGTGGATAGAGTGCTGGGAATTTAGGAGTTTCTGCTGTTAGGAGCCTTGTTCCTGTACGGGATATGGACTTTATGTCACAATCATAAACTCCATTAAATGTCTGCTAAACCGAACAAGCGGAGATTCATCAAGGATCAATCCCTATCCCACCCTCTGGCAAGGTTTTTCCGTTGAACGAGAGGATGTGATGATGGGTATAGTGGGCAGAGGCGGCCCAATGCTGATATTTGCCTGTTGGTATTGAAATGACGAAACGAAGCAAAGGACTTCATATTAGCGAGGACAAATTGAGTTGCAAAAACCTCTCATATCGTATTAGAAAAAGTATTTATTGTTGGAATATTTATATAATATTTGTAGATTTTTTTAATTAATAAGTCTAAAAGAAATTAGTCTTTATGATTTTGTGTTGACAATAATAAGTGAAATACACAAGTGACTTCAATGAATAAAAATTACTTCCAACTATAATATCTAAATTGAGAAATTACTGCCTTTGCCGCCTCTGATTAACTATATATATATATATATATATCCTGCAATAATATATTCCCCAAATCACGCAACTGGCCATAAGCTAAGGTACTTGCTCGTTGATCGGATTTGTATTCCATGCGTATATTAACATGTATTGAGCGCATGTCCATACGTGGCGTAATCCTATGCAATCAAATAAGTCAACAGCTTTAAGAAGTTCTCCATAACCATGAACCAGTTTCAGCTAATCAGCCTAATGAGCATCATGCACTCATCATGCTGATGAAATTTCAATTGTTTAAATTTTATTTTAGACAGTCCAAATTTAAAATTTTTATTTTTTATTTTAGATAGTCCAAATTTTTATGTATGTTTATTAAGATAAAGTTAAAATTTCTTTAACAAATTTACTTTATCATTAATTTAAATAATATAGATTTAATTTGGATGATTTAGTTAAATATAGACTATTCAAATATCCTCTTATTAAATTTCTTAGAATTTTTATAGATTTTATTTTTGTAAATACAATATTAAAATTAAAGATAATTTCTAAATTGAAATTTCAAAAAAAAAATTTAGAAAAGAGTTACAAGTCAAAAATAATAATTTTAGATGGTTTGAAATACATCTAAATAATTAATTAATTAAAATTTTAAAATCGAGCCTTTCAAATTAAATCTATATTGTATGAACTAGTAATAAAATAATTTTATTAATATTTTTAAAATTTTTATTTTAATAAAGACAAAATAAACCTTCAAACTCGGGCGACCGAGATCACTGACACTGATTGCACGTAACTGGACGCTTGAAACATTGAAACCAATCCTTTTTGAGTTTTTTGGTCCCCACACTCTCGCTTTCACGCTAAGGATTCCCAGCTTTGCAAGTTCCGAGCAAGAAACTTCCATTTTCCGTACACGTGAATCCATCGCATCGGCGAAAGTATGGCAAGAAATATGAGAATCGCCAAGATAGGGCCATTCAAGTACAGTTTCGCAGAAAAGAGTGAGAGGCTGCTCTTCATGAAGCGAAGGGGCATTCTCAAATAGGGATCCATATTCCAGAATATAATGGCGGAATCTAATGAAGAAGGAGCTTCCTCAAGGAGGAAGTGCTATTCCCACTTCTCACCGTACGTGTCTCTCCGAAGGGATTATCGACAGCTAGAAGGCACTCAATAGGGTTTTGTCAGGTCTGGATCCCTCATCGAGGGCTTTAACGCTGAGGCAGAGATTTGGATTCGGTGTTTCAACTTTCAACCATCCCGTTGCATAGAGCTCCTTAAAACTATTGATTAAGTTGATAGCATGGAATTACGCCACGTGTATACATGCACCCAATGCATGTAGTTTCTACACGCATATATATAGAATCCAAATCCTCGCTGATCCTTCAATTTAGCATGTTGATCTTAATTTAACTATTTTGGTTGTGCTCCAAACAACAGAGCTATTTTGGATCTAGCCTTCCAAATGCGTAAAAGTCGCATTTTCTACTATATGCTTGAAGCATATGTATACTCTTCAAAGCTAGCAATTAGAAATGGCCCTTGAAAGATTAGGACCTAAATGAATTATTTTATTAAACTTTATTATATCTTAGAACTCTGTTTCATAGAGTCTAACCTTAGCCTTAGAGTCAAAGAGCTGGCCTTACAAGCCCTGATTCTAATATTTTTTTCTTTCTTAATTTTATAACATAAAAATATTTATAATTTAAGAAAAATTTATTACACAAAATATTAAGTCTAGAAAAATAAATTTATGATCCCAAAAAAGTTTACATATCAGATTTTGTTTGAGATTGAGGAGAGTGCGGCTAGCTATGGTCTGTTGAGGGGAGGCAAGGGGTGGCCGGCTAGCCGCACCGCTGAATCGCATGTGAAGTGGCAATGGGTACGGGTAACAAGGCAGGGCAAGTGAATTGGGGGATTTGGCTGTTGAAGTCAATAGATGAGGTAGACTAATAAGTTTAGGATTTTAGTTAGTCTTTTATTTTTTAAACTGATTTTTTTAAAAAATAATAGAGTTTAAAAGGATAGACCTTTTTATTTTTAAACCCATTAGAGCAAACTCTTTTAAGCCTAATTTACCATCTTTTCTTTTAATCCTAAAGTGGTGACTTGTCCCTTATTATTTTTAAATTTAAAAAGGTCAGCTTGACAAAGGCAGCTCTAGTTGTTGGCTTTAATATTTTTTATTGAACTTGTATTGATGTAATGTAATAACCTAACAATCGCATGCATTAATAACGATCATGTAATTCGCTTTTAAAGTTTCATATTACAAAAATCTAACATCGATGCCGAATTTGAAATGACTGCCAAACCTTGATTGTGGCTTCAATCAACCTGCTGCTTAAAATGCAGATTTTCATTATACACAAACCCAACAGGGAAATAGTGAGGCTACTTGAGAAACAAAAGTTCTGAATCTGATACATGCACAGTGCACTTTCAACTTGCAATGAAGTGAATATATGCCTAAGGAGAGAGACGTCCAAAGAAACAGACATCGAACCATAAGCACTTAAACGTGTGATACATGCATGTGGATGCATATATATGCCGACAGAGAATAACCAGAGCCCACCCATGATCAACTTGTGAGAAAGAGACCAGAAAACTTGCTTCCCATTGGTCATCATGCAAGTTGCATGTCAATCTTGCTTTACCAGTTAACCCCAGAAAAAGACAACTACTTAAGCAGCCATTTTTATCAGCTGCGTGTATTTAATATTTATTAGTTATAATGTGTGTGTGGATGTATATAATTATTGATCCAATGGATGCTCCTTTAATTTAATACGAGTTAATGTACGCATGAAGAATGTTAAATAAACATTGTTTCATCATTTCAGGCGATGAGAGAGCTCAAGCTCCTACTGGTACCTCTCCTCTAAAAGCTTCCAGAATCAAGAGTAGTTTAGAGTATGCGTTGATATATATGTAACTTTATCAATAATTTAGTTCCTTTTAGCAATTTTCCCTTTAAAAGTCTGCGTTGACATACACACCTGATGCTAAATTTCTCATAATTAAATTCTCCGTGCTTTTTTTTTATTCACGATAGATATAAACTAATTAAATTAACGTTATCAAAACCTTATCATGCACATGGGACATGCTAGCTAGTAAAATAGAAGTCCGAGTTCGTTGAGTAAAGGATTCCCATTTTTGTTATAAAAATTAGCACGCACGTTTTGTTGTGTACCGCTGTACAGAGTCTAAGATAGCTCATTGATGAGGTCAGGGGCGGAAAAAAAAAAAAAAAAAGGACAGCTCATTCATGATTGCTATAAAGTTTTATATATTTTCTCTTGTTTTTACAAGGCTTCATTAAATACTTTTATGAGATTAAAAATTAGTTTAATTTAGTTAAATGTGATTTTTTCTTAACTTCCTAAAATCATCCTTTCATTGATTATTTTATATGCTGGGGGCAGAGGAGAAAGAATATCATCACTTAAACTTGAAGTAGAAAATATTGTGAAATTTATTTAAATGGATCGTTAATATCTCATTAAATTTTATAAATGTAAAAAACTAGGTAGCAGAATCTCATATATAAAATCCGAGGCAATAATATACATATACATGCACATATTTATTGATAAATGGTACTTGTGGACATTAAAAATTTTAAAATAAATAGGGACAGTGCCTAAAAATCATGAATACTGCTAGCATATCCTGCTAGGTATTATATTTTGTTCACCTTTCTTTTTCTTTTTTTTTTTTATCAATAATCCATGCATCCAAACACTCACACCTCACCCCCCCCCCCCCTTTTAATATCCCATGTCTCTCTCTGTCCACGCAGTTTTTTTTTTTTTTTTTTTGCCTATATAATTTCTGGTCCATCTGTCTTTCACGCCAACTTGTCCCAATTGTTTCCTGCAGGCTGCAGCACGCAACTATGAATGAATGGACCAAGTGACCTACTGTTCCGGTTGAAAGCTATGCTGTAGTCTAGCTTCTGTAGACATACGTACATAGAGAGAGAGAGAGAGAGAGAGAGAGTTAGCTAGTAAAGAGACCTCTATATAAAGTTTTTTTTTTTGATATAATTTTATACGATGATAAAATCCATTTATCATGATTTTGAATATAATATTATAAATATATAATAATATCTAGCATCTGTAAAAAAAAACGAGAGTATGATACCAAACACATATTTAATTAATTTGTATGAAGTCAGAAGTTACAATATTCATGTTATTGGGTTTGTTATATCGTATATTCAAATAAAAATTAAAATAAGTTGAAGATATTTATAAATTATGAACACCTACTTTTTTTTAAAGGTTTCATACGCATATATAGGATTCCACAAATGGGCTTTTATAAATTATGATTGAAAAACTGATATTAAATTGGCTAGAAATCTTGACCCCTTTTCAAATCCAAATATAAAAAGATGGGAGCGGTAGGAAAAATTTTAGCTCCCCTCCCTTTTAAATTTTCAATCCAAATGAGGATAAATGAGCTTCTTCACAGGTGAAATAAATCTACACACATGTATAATTAATTCATTGAAAGCAACTATTAAGATCATTGTTAATTTCATTTACTTCCAACTGTAATATCTAAATTGAGAAATTACTTCCTTTGCCGCCTCTGATTTATATATATATATATATATATATATATCATGCAATAATATATCCCCCAAATTACGCAACTGGCTATTAATTAAGGTACTTCCTCGTTGATCGGATTTATATTCCATGCGTCTAGTAACTACTAACTACATGTACTGAGCGCATGTGCATGCGCGGCATAATCCTGTGCTATCAAACAAGTCAACAGCTTTAAGAAGTTCTATGCGAGCGTGGAACCAG